TTTAAAGAATTATTTGGTACATTAGATAGCCGTGATGCAGAATTTTATGAGAATAACATTAACAAAATTCAAAAAGACGAAAGTCATCTCGCAGGATTACTAAAAGAACAAATTCAAGTTGTAAGTAGTACCATTCGAAATTTTAATTCGTCACTTACCAACGTTAACCTAAACAATAAAATATTTAACGAAAACTTTGAAAACTTTAAAAAATCACTTTCGGATCAAGAATTTAAATATTTTAACTTGGAATTGAGACAACAAATAGATGAACATCTTTCTCGACTATCATTAGTAATCAATGAACTGAACACCGAATATTCTACAATAATAAACGCATATCTATTTTCCAAGTCAGACATAATCCACCCTTCTATAATCTCCGTTGAACAATATATTCACGAACTATCCAAGGCGCTAATCCATTTGCCACCATCTACTACACGATAGTCGATAGACTCCCGCTCCTTTTAATGGAGTTAGTTTGTCCTTGGCTATAGGGAGTGTGTTCCGAATTTTTGCTGACCGTGCCGTACCGCACTACGATGTCGTTCTTTTTGAGGTGCCTAGCAATTCGTTCCGTTACTCTTGAAACATAGGGAAGATAGATAAATCCAAGTGGTTTTGTACTTATCGTGTCAGCTATCAAACATTTAAAACATTTTTGCCATAATTTAGACAACTGTTCCATGATTACAAACCAATTTTCAACTATTTTGAACAACCTCAAATTGGTTTAAACCAGTTTTAAATCATTTAGACAAATTTTGAATGCACCCCAATCAGCAATAAATCATTTAAAACATTTTTGCCATAATTTAGACAACTTTTCAATTACTCCAAACCAATTTTCAATAATTTTTAACAACCCGGAACTGGTTTAAACCAGTTCTAAATCATTTAGACAAGTTTTTAATGCTCCCCAATCAGCTATCAACCATTTAAAATAATTTTGCCATAATTTAGACAACATTAAAAATGATCACAAATCAATTTTTAATTATTTTAACCAACCCCAAATTGGTTTAAACCTCTTTTAAATCATTTAGACAAGTCTTGAAAGCTCTCCAATCAGCAATAAATCATTTGAAACATTTTCGCCACAATTTAGACAACTTTTCAATGATTTCGAACCTATTTTCAATCATTTTTAACAACCCGGAACTGGTTTAAACTAGTTCTAAATCATTTAGACAACTTTTAAATAGTTACTAATCAGTTTTCAATCATTTAGAACACTTTGCCATAATATAAAATCGTTTTGGACAATTCTAAATGCAATTTGTAATTGCTTTAAACAATCTGGAATTTGAACCAGTTCTAAATTAGTTTTCAATCATTTAAGCATTTTTTTTTATTATAAAAAAATTTATTTAATAAATTTTCTTAGAATTAGTTTAGAGGTATCTATTTTAAGTTGGTTATTAGTTGCCGCTACTCAATCATAGATGGCGTTACATGAAAAATTATTTTTTTTTTAAATTAATAATTTTAATCAAAAAATTTTAAAAATGATATTTTGTTACCCGGACTTCGACGACATATTTTTATTTACAAATTATTACTTTTTAAATTAAATTAATTTTATTGCTTATTTTGACAAAAAATGAATGATCATGACGTTTAATTGAATTGACATTAATATGTCGGTAAGTTAGTTATCTGTAATTACATTTAATTTTTTTTAGGTTAAATTAATTAACGCGAATTTAATTAAAATCGCTTTATTATAAAAAGTCCAGTAAAAAAAAACAACCTTATCATCTAACAATGAGCAATATTCGTCAAAAAAAAACTTTTCCTCCTTTCTTAATATTTTTTTTTTGAAAAAAAAAAATCTTTCCAACGTCACCAAGTGACTAGAATGTAAATCTAAGAATTAAGTACCTACATATTAAATGAATGACATAAATGATACTTAAAATTATACAATATATCACATTGTATCGGCAAAATGATTCTATAAAGTTGATGTCAAATAAATGTTTCTGGTGAATCTAATGCATCGGGGGTTTCTGGGACATCGTTTAATAAAGTATAACTATCCCTGATGATCAATAACCGATTATTATTCGATTGAATTAAGTTGCTTCCTCTTCGTAAAGTCCTCATGCTCATTTCTATCGTATCCCTAGTAAACATGATCGATTTGTATGCATTAATAAAGACCCCCACTAAAATACACGTCCCGACCAAAATACTTCCATATGTGGCTAAAGGATTCATGACGTCAGCGAAAGTTGTTGCTAAATAAATCCATCTTTTTATTGTTGGGGTTAAATCGGTTACGCCCTCTTCAATCCACATCAATGGAAGAATTATGCTTGGAAATTTTGAAACTACCGCAACGTTGGGAGCTCTTTCCACTTTTAAGTTGACTTGAAGGCGGATTAAAGCTTCCAAAGGAACTCCTAATTTCTAAAAAAAAAATTCGTAACGATTAATTTAATTTAAAAATGAATTGATTTTACCGGTTGAATTTTGATGTAAGATCCATGGTCTTTTTCGCTAGGAGATAATCCTTGGATTTGGTCTAAAAGATGTGGGTCTCCTTTGTAGAAATGTGGAAATGAAGCGTAAATAGGAGCGTCTGAAATTAATTAAATAATCGGTTATCTTTTGGTTTCAGATTAAGAAGATTAAAATGGTGTGATTTGCAAGGACGAAATCTCATCGTGGTTGAACAGGAACAAGGTAAGTCGATTTCTATTACCTTTGGTTTGATTAGAAATGAGTTTGATTTTGCAAAAATGCATTAGATTGGGACTAAATTTAGTTAGAATAACATTTAGACAAGTTTTCCATGACTACTAAGTAATTTTTATTCATTTTGAACAACTTGGAATCAGCATAGAAGAATTTCCAATTACTTAGACAACCCTTAAATCATTATCAATTAATTTTTAATCATCTTGAACAGTCCAAAATGAAATGTTCCATAATTTAGACAAATTTTCCATGATTAGAATCTAATTTTCAGTCTATATGAGCAACTTGGAGTAGCCATGAAGGAATTTTCCATCATTTAGACAAGGTTTAAATGATTGAAAAGTAATTTTAGTCGCCTTGAACAATTTTGCCGTATTATAAACTAGTTATAAACAACCTTGATGCTAACATTTCATGGTTTTGAACAAACTGGAATAGCAATAATCTACCTTTTAATCATTTAGACTTGCTTTCAATGATATAAAATTAGTTTTTAATATTTTTGGACAACCTGGAATAACTTATGAAGTTGTTCTAAACCATTTAGACATGTTTAGGTTGATTAACAATTAGTTCTTAATCACTTTGAACAATTTTTCTATCTTCTAAATGAGTTTTCAATATCACCAAATTGATTTTTATTAATTTTGAACGACTTTGGAGCAATTTTAAAACATTTAGACAAGTTTTGAAGCATTACCAATGTGTTCTTAATCACTTTGAGCAACTTTTCCAAGTTGTAAATGTATTTTGAACAACTTTAGATGCAGTTTTTAATCATTTTAAATAACTTGTAATAGGTTTGAAGCTATTTTAAAACATTTAGACAAGTTTTGATTGATAACCAATTAGATCGTAATCACTTTGAGCAACTTTTCCAAGTTGTAAATGAGTTTTGAATTGTTTTAGACGTCGTTTTTGATTGTTTTGAACAATTTGGAACAGCTATGAAGCAGCTTTACATTATTTAGACACGTTTTTAATAACACTAAATTAGTTTTCAATAACTTTGAACAACTTGGAATTGCTACAGAACACTTTTAAATCATTTAGACAAGTTTTGAATACTCCCAAATCAACATTGCGTCATTTAAAACATTTTGGCTATAATTTAGACAACTTTTCACTAATTTTCTGTTATTTTGAACAACCCAATATTGCATTAAATCGAGTTTCAATCATTTAAACAAGTTTTGAATCAGCAATTAATCATTTAAAACAATTTCTCTATAATTTAGACAACTTTACAACGATTATAAATTAATTTTCAATAATTTTGAACGACTTGGAATTGCCACAGAACAGTTTTAAATCATTTGAACAAGTTTTGAATGTTCCCCAATCAGCAATGAATCATTTAAAACAATTTTTCTATAATTTAGACAATTTTACAACAATTATAAAGTAATTTTCAATAATTTTGAACAACTTGGAATTGCCACAGAACAGTTTTAAATCATTTAGACATGTTTTGAATGCTCTTCAATCAGTAATAAATCATTTAAAACAACTTTTCAATGATTACAAATTAATTTTCTGTTATTTTGAACAACCTAAAATTGCATTAAATCGGTTCTAAATCATTTAGACAAGTTTTGATTGTTCCCCAACCAGCAATTAATCATTTAAAACAAGTTTTCCATAATTTAGACAACTTTTCAACTATTACAAACCAATTTTTAGTTATTTCAAACAATCCCGAATTGGTTTAAACCAGTGTTAAATCATTTAGACAAGTTTTGAATGCTCCCCAATCAGTTATCAAACATTTAAAACATTTTTGCCATAATTCAGACAACTTCAATGATTAAAAACCAATTTTCAATTATTTTAACCAACCCCAAATTGGTTTAAGCCAGTTTTCAATCATTTAGAGAAGTTTTGAATGCTCCCCAATCAGCAATAAATCATTCAAAACATGTTTGCTGGAGTTTAGACAACTTTTTAATGACTCCAAAATAATTCTCAAATATTTTGAACAACCTGGAATTGGTTGAAACCAGTTCTAAATCATTTAGACAAGTTTTGAATGCTCCCCAATCAGCTATCAAACATTTAAAACAATTTTGCCATAATTTAGACAACTTTTCAATGAGTACAAACCAATTTTTAACTATTTTAAACAACCACAAATTGGTTTAAACCAGATTTAAATCATTTAGACAAGTTTTGAATGCTCCCCAACCAGCAATTAATCATTTAAAACACTTTTTTCATAATTTAGACAACTTTACACTAATTATAAACCAATTCTCAATTATTTTGAACAACCCCGAATTGGTTTAAACTAGTTCTAAATCATTTAGACAAGTTTTGAAAGCTCCCCAATCAGCAATAAACCATTTTAAATATTTTTGCCATATTCTAAACAACTTTCCAATGACACCAAACTAATTTTTAATTATATTGAGCAACCCGGAATTGGTTTAAAAAAGTTTGAAATCATTTAGACAAATCTTGAAAGCTCCCCAATCAGTTATCAAACATTTTTGCCATAATTTAGACAACTTTTAAATAATTACAAACCAATTTTTAATTATTTTAAACAACCCTGAATTGGTTTAAACCAATTTTGAATCATTTAGACATATTCTGAATGCTCCCCAATCAGCAATAAATCATTCAAAACATTTTTGCTATAATTTAGACAACTTTTCAATGACTCCAAAATAATTTTAAATTATTTTGACCAACCCGGAATTGGTTTAAACCAGTTTTAAATCATTTAGACAAATTTTGAATGCTCACCAATCAGCAATAAATCATTCAAAACACTTTTGCTATAATTTAGACAACTTTTCAATGACTCCAAAATAATTTTAAATTATTTTGCCCAACCCAGAATTGGTTTAAACCAGTTTTAAATCATTTAGACAAGTTTTGAATGCTCCCCAATCAGCAATAAATCATTTAAAACATTATTGCCATAGTTTGGACAACTTTTCAATGACTCCAAAATAATTTTAAATTATTTTGACCAACCCGGAATTGGTTTAAACCAGTTTTAAATCATTTAGACAAGTTTTGAATGCTCCCCAATCAGCAATAAATCATTGAAAACATTTTTGCCATAGTTTAGACAACTTTTCAATTATTCCAAATCAATTTTCAATAATTTTTAACTGGTTTAAACCAGTTCTAAGCCATTTAGACAAGTTTTGAATGCTCCCCAATCAGCAATAAATCATTCAAAACATTTTTGCTATAATTTAGAGAACTTTTCAATGACTCCAAAATAATTTACAATTATTTTGAACAACCCGGAATTGGTTTAAACCAGTTCTAAATTATTGAGACACGTTTTGAATGCTCCCCAATCAGCAATAAATCATTTAAAACATTTTTTCCATAATTTAGACAACTTTTCAATGACTCCAAACCAATTTTCAATAATTTTTAACAACCCGGAACTTGTCTAAATCATTTAGACAACTATTGAATAATTACAAATCAGTTTTCAATCATTTAGAACACTTTTCCATAATATAAAATCGTTTTGGACAATTTTAGATGTAGTTTTTAATTGCTTTTTAAACAATCTGGAATTTGAACCAGTTCTAAATTAGTTTAAACTTTTTTTTTATTATAAGAAAAATTTATTTAATAAATTTTCTTAGAATTAGTTTACAGATATCTATTTTAAATTGGTTATTAGTTGACGCTACTCAATCATAGATGGCGCTACATGAAAATTTTATTTTTTTTAAATTAATAATTTTAATTAAAAAAAACTTACCGTGATGACAAGGAATGATACTTTGCAACCCGGAAGGCGGACAATATTCATTTCCGGGGCAAAAACATTTATTTTCCGGGTAATTCTCAACAGATTCGTACATATTATCAGCCGGGGTGTACAAATCCACTGTAATTCCTGTTTTGGCAGTCAAAAAACAAAAAAAAATTTTAGTCCAAGGCTTATTTTAAACATTAACTCAAAAAAGGAGTCTTACCACTTTTAGCTTCCGTTTTCCTGTATTGCAATGGTATTAATCTGCATACATCTTTATCGTACAGGTAATAAATTTGTTCTTTGTCCTTGCTGAAATATCTCGGGGGAAAAAACGAACCTTCGCTCGCCCGAATATTATTACAAGGCGCGTCTTTCCAATACGGCAACGTTCTCAAACCATTCACGTTATCTATATAGCCGAATTCTTCCATTGACGTTTCTCCGGTAAAAATCGTCGAGATTTCGTTCAAAGTTCCGTTCCTTCCCAGAAGTAACCCCATTTTTCCGTTGGGTTTTTTATGTTTCGGATAAAATTCGTGCGCCAAAGTCACCAAGGTGTCATCGTACCCAAAAACCAATTCTTCCGCTGTTAAATTAATGAACGGTTTGTATCGACCGAAAGATAACGCGACGGAAATCGTTTTTTGTAAGAAAAATCCAAGCGAATTCGACATCGTTGATAAAGATAAAAGTGGGATGTTTGGGACGGTTAATTTTAAATCCTTTGGTTTTGACATTTCTGGGACGAATTTTAAGATTTTGTTGTGTTGGAACGTTACGGTTCCGTTATCATGGAATTTTACGTTCACTTTTTCCATATCTTCTCTGTAAAATTAAAAGGAAATCAATTTTAATTGATCCTTTATACTAAAAGTGGTAATAAATCAACTCCTAACCATTTAGACAAGTTTTTCAATGATATTAATCCAATTTGTACTATTTTTGACAACTTGGAATAGTTCCAAATCATTTAGACATGTTTAGGTTGATTACCAATTTGTTTTTAATCATTTTGAACAATTTTTCTAACTTGTAAATGTGTTTTGAACAACTTAAAATCAGTTTTTAATCGTTTTAAACAATCTGGTGTGACTCCTAATGATTTAGACAAATTTTTAATCACACCAAGCTGGTTCCCAATAATTTTGAACAATCTTAAATGACTTTAGAGTAGTTTTAAATCGTTTAGACAAGTTTTGAACAGTTTTCCCACGTTGTAAATGTGTTTTGACCAATATTGGATGTTGATTTTATTGCTTTTGAATAACCCGGAACGGCATTAAATCAATTTGTAACCATTTAGACAAGTTTTACAACGATATTAATCCAATTTGTACTATTTTTGGACAACTTGGAATAACTGTGAAGTAGTTCTAAATCATTTAGACATGTTTAGGTTGATTACCAATTTGTTTTCTATCACTTTGAACAATTTTTTTATTTTGTAAATGTGGTTTGAACAATTTTAAATGCAGTTTTTAATAGTTTTGAACAACTTGATACGGTAATTAGCCAATTCCTAATCATTTAGACAAGTTTTCAATATCACCAAATTAGTTTTTACTAATTTTAAATGGTTTGTAATAGCTTTGGAGCAATTTTAACACATTTAGACAATTTTGAATCATTACCAATGCGTTCTTAATCACTTTGAGCAACTTTTCCAAGTTTTAAACGGGTCTTGAACAACTTTAGATGCAGTTTTTAATTGTTTTGTGCAACATGGAGCTAGTTCCTAATCATTTAGACAAGTTTTCAATATCACCCAATTAGTTTTTAGTAATTTTGAACGACTTGTAATAGCATTGGATCAATTTTAACACATTTAGACAAGTTTTGAAGCATTACCAATGCGTTCTTAATCACTTTGAGCATCTTTTCCAAGTTGTAAACGTGTTTTGAACAATTTTGATGCAGTTTTTAATTGTTTTGTACAACTTGGAACGGTAACGAAGTAGTTCCTAATCATTTAGACAAGTTTTCGATATCACCAAATTGATTTTTATTAATTTTGAACGACTTTGGAGCAATTTTAAAACATTTAGACAAGTTTTGAAGCATTACCAATGTGTTCTTAATCACTTTGAGCAACTTTTCCAAGTTGTAAATGTATTTTGAACAACTTTAAATGCAGTTTTTANAATTTTAAAACATTTAGACAAGTTTTGAAGCATTACCAATGTGTTCTTAATCACTTTGAGCAACTTTTCCAAGTTGTAAATGTATTTTGAACAACTTTAAATGCAGTTTTTAATCGTTTTTAATAACTTGGAATGGTAACGAACTAGTTCCTAGTCATTTAGACAAGTTTTCAATAATTTTGAGTAACTTAAGATACCTTTGGAGCAATTTTAAAGTATTTAGACAAGTTTTGATTGATTACCAATTAGTTTTTAATCATTTTAAACAACTTTTCCATGTTGTGTATGAATTTTGGACAGTTTTAGATGTCGTTTTGGTCATTTTGAACACCTTTTATCCGTAATGAATTAGTTCCAAATCATTTAGACAAGTTTTCAATAACACCAAATTAGTTTTTAATAATTTTGAGCAACTTAAGATACCTTTGGAGCAATTTTAAAGTATTTAGACAAGTTTTGAATTAGTTTTTAATCACTTTGAACAACTTTTTCATGTTGTATATGAGTTTTGAACAGTTTTAGATGTCGTTTTTGATCATTTTGAACACCTTTTATCCGCAATAAATTAGTTCCAAATCATTTAGACAAAATTTTAATAACATCAAAGTTAATTTTCAATAATTTTGAGCAACTTAAGATACCTTTGGAGCAATTTTAAAGTATTTAGACAAGTTTTGGTTGATTTCCAATTAGTTTTTAATCACTTTAAACAACTTTTCCATGTTGTATATGAATTTTGGACAGTTTTAGACGTCGTTTTTGATCATTTTGAACACCTTTTATCCGTAATTAATTAGTTCCAAGTCATTTAGACAAGATTTTAATAACACCAAATTAGTTTTCCATAATTTTGAGCAACTTAAGATACTTTTGGAGCAATTTTAAAGTATTTAGACAAGTTTTAGTTGATTTCCAATTAGTTGTTAATCACTTTGAACAACTTTTCCATGTTGTATATGAGTTTCGGACAGTTTTAGATGTCGTTTTTGATCATTTTGAACACGTTTTATCCGTAATAAATCAGTTCTCAATCATTTAGACAAGTTTTCAATAACACCAAATTAGTTTTCAATAATTTTGAGCAACTTAACATACCTTTGGAGCAATTTTAAGGTATTTAGACAAGTTTTGGTTGATTTCCAATTAGTTTTTAATCACTTTGAACAACTTTTCCATGCTGTATATGAGTTTTGGACAGTTTTAGATGTCGTTTTTGATCATTTTGAACACCTTTTATCCGTAATTAATTAGTTCCAAATCATTTAGACAAGATTTTAATAACACCAAATTAGTTTTCCATAATTTTGAGCAACTTAAGATACTTTTGGAGCAATTTTAAAGTATTTACACAAGTTTTGGTTGATTTCCAATTAGTTTTTAATCTCTTTGAACAACTTTTTCATGTTGTATATGAATTTTGGACAGTTTTAGATGTCGTTTTTGATCATTTTGAACACCTTTTATCCGTAATGAATTAGTTCCAAATCATTTAGACAAGTTTTCAATAACACCAAATTAGTTTTCAATAATTTTGAGCAACTTAAGATACCTTTGGAGCAATTTTAAAGTATTTAGACAAGTTTTGGTTGATTTCCAATTAGTTTTTAATCACTTTGAACAATTTTTTCATGTTGTATATGAGTTTTGGACAGTTTTAGATGTCGTTTTTGATCATTTTGAACACCTTTTATCCATAATGAATTAGTTCCAAATCATTTAGACAAGTTTTCAATAACACCAAATTAATTTTCAATAATTTTGAGCAACTTAAGATACCTTTGGAACAATTTTAAAGTATTTAGACAAATGAAGAACAGCTTTTTCTCTTAAAAAATGAAAAGGCAATCAATTTTAATTAGTCCTTTATGCTAAAAGTAGTTATTTAATCAGAATTACGAAATCGTGATTAACTGCTTTATATCAATTAATAAACTCGAATTGTAACGCTTAAAGAAGAAGTTATATAACGTTGTTTGGAACATTATTTACGACCCGATAGTTTTATAATAAACAATTTTTGTTATTATCATCGATACGTTTCAGTCTATTTGTCTTATTGCGTAATGAGTATCGCATTTTTCGCCATTTTCCAAACTCAGCGTCCAACCGAACCAGCAACTTTCTTATTTTGATGTTAACCGGTGAGGTTATGTAATCTCGAGTGTCTTTTTAGACCGGTCTTTAAAAGATTTCATTTAAGAAAGTAAAACAATCTTTATCAATATATCAATTAATATTTTTGTTTAACTAGTTACAATTGTGATATAAATCGATTTTTTACCGAAACGGAATTACATAACCTAAAAAAAAATTTAAAGGTGGTACGACATTCTTAAGGAGAAAAGCGCAAGCGCGCGCATGCGCCCTACTTTCTTCCTTTTTTATTTTTTTGGGTTTTTCGATCTCGTCACCGACCTTGAACCCTTTCCCAACAGATTTTATTCAATTTCTCGTTCGATTTTCGTAACGCGTCTCCGTTTTTGCGATATTTCAAGGTTAACTTTCGCTTTAAACTTATCGAGATGAAAAGAAATCATTTTAATTAATTTTGTATATGTATATGGTCCAAAAAAAGTTTTAGTACTAAAAATTGAAATTCCATCTTGAACTTGTCAAGTTCACGGACGTTTTCGTCATTAGAGGTGTTGAGTTGAAATAAGAAAGAGAGGTTTTACGTTAGAGTCAGGTACCGTTAACGATTCCGATTACGTAATCATCGTTTTACACCGCAACTCAAGAGTGAGGTTATAACCGCGATTGACATTGACATTTCTAAAATAAACGACTTAATAAAGCGCGATTAAACTAATAAAGCACATTCAATTTAAGCGATTTGTTTACCTGTAAACGAAAGGGCCCACTTCTTGCAACTTTGGTTTTTCCCCCAGATTCAAAAATTCCTCGGGGTTGGTCATATTGAATATGTAGACTTTGGTTAGACGTAAAACTCCCGGTTTTTGCCAGTAATGGTAACTTAGGGAACCATTCCATAACCTTAAATGCTAAATAAAAAAGATTGTTTATTAAAAAAAAAAATTATTTGAGGTTTCCCACCCGGTTAGTGATACCAACCCATTTTGACATTTAAACGCTACGATTAATTAAAAATCAAATTTTACCAAGAAATAAGGTTAATTGAACCTCACAAACTGTTTATTTACGGTGATTATGTACTCTAAGAAGTGATTTCTCCTAAATCAAAGAAGAAACGACAACATAACCTAACTTTTATCTTGTCAATTTAAAATTTTTTATCTATCTAAAAAAAATTTATTAATGAATGAATTTTTTAAGATAAAAATGAAAAAGTATTCGTCATTCAGGTAGATTTCAAACTTATGATTTTTATTTTATTTAATCTAAAAATTTTTTTTTCGATTAAATAGTTGCTCACCCCATCTAGCGGTAACCCTATTAAGTCAAAATTTTGACAGTTAAAACATTCCGGTTGCATTTCTTGCTAAAATCATCAAATTTTACAGAATTGAATCAAAATCTCCATCGAAATACGTTTTTGAGCTCCCAAACTACTTATTTAAAGTGATTAAACACTCCAAGAAGTGATTATTTCCCCAAAATTGAAGAAGAAACGAAAATAACCTAACTTTTATCGCGCCAATTTAAAATGTTTAAAGATTCAAGAATTTATTACAACTAAAACAGTAAGTCGATTGATTTTATCTATTTTAAATGATTCAATCATTAATTCTTGGAATTTTAAGTTATTTTAATTCAAATTTAAAGAAAAACTCACATTCTGAATGAGTTATTTTTAGAATCACGGTTAGATGGCGCTTAGAATGTGACGTTTCTTTAATTTTATTTCTTAGAAAAAAAAGTGGAATTAATGAGCAAACTTTTTTGATCAATAAAAGGGGAAATGAATCTTCATTTATGTAAAGATTTCGAACTTTTACGATTTTTATTTTATTTAATCTTAAAAAATTTTTTTCTCATCTAAATAGTTGCTCACCCCATCTAGCGGCAACCCTATTAAGTCAAAGTTTTGACAGTTAAAACATTCCGGTTACATTTCTCGCTAAAATCATCAAATTTGATATAAAATAAGCTTAATTGAATCAAAATCTCCATCGAAATACGTTTTCCAGCTCCCAAGTTACTCATTTAAAGTGATTAAAGACTCCAAGAAGTGATTTTTTCCCCAAAATTGAAGAAGAAACGAAAACACAACCTAACTTTTATCTCGTCAATTCATAATTTGTGAGGACTTAAGAATTTATTACAACTAAAACATAGTAAGTCGATTAATTTTATCAATTTTAAATCATTCAATCATTAATTCTTGGAATTTTAAGTTATTTTAATTCAAATTAAAAAAAACTCACATTCTGAATGAGTTATTTTTAAAATCACTGTTAGATGGCGCTTAGAATGTGACATTTCTTTTAAATTAATTTTATTTAAAAAAAAACGTGAAATTAATGAGCGAACTTTTTTGACGAATAAAAAGGGAAATGAGTCTTCATTTATGTAAGGATTTCGAACTTTTACGATTTTTATTTTATTTAATCTTAAAAAAATTTTTTTCTCGTCTAAATAGTTGCTCACCCCATCTAGCGGCAACCCTATTAAATCAAAATTTTGACAGTTAAAACATTCAGGTTACATTTCTCCCTAAAATCATCAAATTTGATAGAAAATAAGCTTAATTGAATCAAAATCTCCATCGAAATACGTTTTCCAGCTCCCAAGTTACTCATTTAAAGTGATTAAAGACTCTAAGAAGTGATTTTTTCCCCGAAATTGAAGAAGTAACGAAAACACAACCTAACTTTTATCGCGTCAATTCATAATTTTTGAGAATTTAAGAATTTATTACACCTAAAACATAGTAAGTCGATTAATTTTATCAATTTTAAATCATTCAATCATTAATTCTTGAAATTTTAAGTTATTTTATTCAAATTTAAAGAAAAACTCACATTCTGAATGAGTTATTTTTAGAATCACGGTTAGATGGCGCTTAGAATGTGACGTTTCCTTTTAATTAATTTTATTTCTTAGAAAAAAACGTGGAATTAATGAGTGAACTTTTTTGACCAATAAAAGGGGAAATGAATCTTTATTCGGGTAAAGATTTCGAACTTTTACGATTTTTATTTTATTTAATCTTAAAAAAAATTTTTCTCGTCTAAATAGTTGCTCACCCCATCTAGCGGCAACCCTATTAAGTCAAAGTTTTGACAGTTAAAACATTCAGGTTACATTTATCGCTAAAATCATCAAATTTTACTAAAAAATAAGCTTAATTGAATCAAAATCTCTATCGAAATACGTTTTTGAGCTCCCAAGTTACTTATTTAAAGTGATTAAAGACTCCAAGAAGTGATTTTTTCCCCAAAATTGAAGAAGAAACGAAAACAACTTAACTTTTATCGCGTCAATTTAAATTGTTTGAGGGCTTAAGAATTAACTAAAACAATTATAGGATAAAATGGATCTTCATTCAGGTAAAAATTCCAAATTTTACGACTTATTTTATTTAATTAAAAAAATTTCTAGTTTAAACCCCATCTAGCGGGAATCATCCATATTAAATCAAAGTTTTGACATTTAAAACTTTCCAATACAGTTAAAATTATCAAATTTTACCAAAAAATAAGTTTAATTGAATCTAAATCGCTATCAAAATACGTTTTTTAACTCCTAAATTTTTTATTTACAGAGATTAAGGACTCCAAGAAGCGATTTTTTCCCCAAAATCAAAGAAGAAGCAAACATAACCTAACTTTTATCTCGATTCAAACGCAATCATTCAACATCGTCGTGATTTTGAAGAAATTTGTGGATATTACTTTGACTTTAATAGGTATTTCCGTGTAATTTACGATTTAAACTTTCTAATGGGTGTATTTTTTTAGGTTGAGAAAATTTTATGAATTCAGGAAATTAGTGAGGTGGATCAACGCTTATTTAAAGAAGAAATGAATAGGATGGATATTAGATACAAGTAATAATAATTTTACCTTTAAAATGATGTAATCTAACCATGGGATCGATGAAAGTACTATTCCTATGATAAGGGTCGCCAACCCAAATATAATAACCGCTATTTTACCTGAAAATAAGATAATACGAAATTAGTTTGGGTTATTTAAATCAATTAAAGTGTTTTTGACGCAAAAAAATTTAATTGGTATTCCTAGAAAGTGGTTTTGAATGATTACTTTGTTTTCAAGTCATTCACGTCGATAATTTATTATATAATTTTATCAAAATTTAACCTCTAATCTATTTTTTCTTTAATTCCAGGCGAATCCTTTGTTAAAAAAATCATCTCTGGTAAGTTATTAACGATTTAAACTCACCTTTTTTTCTGTATTCTTTTTTGCACTTATTCCAAAGCGATTTGCGTTTTCGCCGATTCTTTCGTTTCTTTTCCAAGTTATCACTCGTGTTTATTAAGGGCTCGTCGACATCGATGAACGGGCTAACGTAATTTCTTATCTCGTTCGTAACGAATTCTTTCGTTTTGACCATTTTTTAAAAATTTTGGTGTTAACCGATGGGGGTCTGTTAAAAAAGTGGATTTTTTTTTATACGATCCCCCCGTTTTGAGATTTGAGCACGAATTGACATCAAAACGACGTTTAAACGACGCTGTTGTTGATGGTGATGATGATGATGAATGATAAATATCGACCAGGTTAATTGGAAAAACAACTATGTAATTATTAAAAAAAAGTTGAGACGTCGAAAAATTGCCAATTATAAGAAATTTTGCGGAATGAATTAATTTTTAATAAATCAATTGCTATTTTATGACTTTTTCGTAGTTAGAGTTGCGAATTATTATGTAATTTTATTATTATTTATTACTTAAATGTTTTTGCAAAGACAAAGCAAGGATAACGTGAATATAAAGTGTTAATTAATTAATTAGAAACACTTTTCATTTCATTTTTGAGCCTAAACAAGTCGGGAGCAAGTTTCGTTGTAATTCTTCGCTCGGAGAAAGTGTGTAAATGGGACGTTTAAAATAATAATGATATACAGAAAGCACTTTACGTTTCTCCTTAGTTATTTGGTTTTATTTCATTCTAAGTTAATTTGAATACTCACTGCTTGATGTCTTGCTTGGTTGGGATATTAAAAGTTGTAGTCTGGTTTGAATGTTGGTGCCATGGGGGTCGATTCCAAAAAGGCGATTCCTGGCGTTTTGCCCAACGTGCAAATATTGCGTGTGTACCATCTGGAACGTAATTAACATAGAATTAATTTAATCCGGACTTAATTTAAGTACTTTGCTTAACCGGTTTATCATCCCAATTTAAATTCCTCCAAGATTAAAATTAAAAGAATCAGAATCAAAGTTTAATTTGTCAAGGGTCATAGTGAAAGCAGATTCATCATTCGTTACCTAACGCAACAAAACTCAAAACCGTTTCTATTGGGTCTCCTCGACGAGCACATTTTAGAATTGCTTAAGAATTAAGACCCTCCTTTTGTTACGTCGAAAATTTAACCAAATGAATACATAAATAAATAAAGTGAAGAGAGCGAAACGAAGAAAAGTAAAAATTGAGATAAATTACATAAACCACCGGGAATTTCGCGTGTTACAAAGAAAGTTGGGTAACCGAATTATTAAACACGTGATGTTTAATAATCTTTAAGGTTACACCATGAAATTTGGTAACTGTTTCGTTTATGAAATGAAAAAAAGAGAAATTCCCGTTTTATTGCTCTTAATCATTGACTTTGAGGTTGTTATTAAATGTTGCTTTTGGTCAAACAAAAAAAAAGAAAAAACCCGGAATATTTTTTGCGTTTCTGTTTATTTTACAAAACGCACTCTATTAAAATAACAAGGCGACCAAGTTTTTCCTTGACGTAAAGGAAAGAACGCTAAAATAACACATATTTATTAACATTAACAATATAACAAACCATTTTACTTCTTGTTTTTCCTTGTTTTTTTTTTCGTTGTGGTTTTAAGGTAATTATTATGACACATTGTTGAATCATTTTTTAATAATCAATTTGAAACATTAAAAAAAAATTGTTTATTTAAACGATTGGCATAAATTTATTCATCAAATATTTGACGATTATTAATCGTTTAATCCCGGAAATCTTAATAATCGATCCTAACAGTTCGTTTTTAAAGTTCAATTATATTATTACCTTTCGAGGTTAATCCAAAGGTCAGACCGTCTTTTAAAATTAAAACGAATAATAAAATTTAATTGATTTTATTTAAGATCATTTATTTCGTACTACGATATTCGGCTTTCACTAGAAAACCACAATCTACGATACTTACATATTTAGAATTTACCATTTTAACCGCAAAGTGCAGATTAATGCGGTAATAAGACATTGATGTTTTCATATAAATTTAAATGAAATGTGTCAATGTCTTGGGATTTATTTTTATTCAAGTTCAAGGAGATAATTTTATGTATTAAATTAACCTAAAAGCGTTTGACGTCTTAGCTTGTAACGGGCGTGACAATTTAACGTAACGGGTGTGACACAATTTATAATTATTGCGTTTCCACACAATTTTGTTGGAAATTCCAGATTACTCGCTCTACGAGTGTTATTTTCGCATCGACAAAAAGTTTTGCGTTACACAAATTGATTTGGTGGTAATTATGTGGTAGATTTCTGCGTGTCAGGTGAAAAATAACATAATGACGAAATTATAGCAACCCGAAATTGCGAGATCAAATTAAAATAATATGAATTGTTGGTGTCCAATCATCTCGAACATATCATATATCATAAAATATTCATAAAGCCATAGAAAACGTTTTTGGATGAGAATGCGATGAGGAATCTTATAGAAAAGGCATGCTTTCCGCAAGTCCTTGTATGATGGGGTCTGAGTATCTTGCAATATGACAGCTAGCGTTATCGTCTTGAAAGTATCATGGGTCTAAATCTTAAATTATGTAGTAGCCCTAGTCTAAACTTTACTGTTGACAGAATGCCTTCTGGCAGGAGACGTCTCCAGACTTGTATGCGACATCCAAATCCTCGTCCAAATACTTATAAATAGGTACTGTATTCTGGTTATGTTAGGAAGGTTTAAAATTGTTTAGGATTACTTGGATTTGTTTCAAGTTTGTAACGCAATAAGTTACGTATTTTTGTAGTTGGTTTAGTTTGTTTTAAAGCGGCAGCTGAATGAAGTCAACCCAAACTCAAATCCAAGTAACTCAATAATCAAAATGACTTGGTTGCAAAGGAAAAAGCTTAAACTCAATCACAAAGTACGTCAATCTAATCCAAGAAAGTGTTATAACTGCTACTAAGTAGGCCAATCCAATTTTAGAGAAACCCAACTTAACTTATTGTAGTTCATAGATTATACTTTAAAACAACTCAACCTAAATCTAAAGCAAAGCTGTTACATCCCAAAGCTAACCCAAATGGAAAGCATGGAAACTCAATTTACCCCCAAAACTACCCAAATCCAAATATAAAGTAATTTAATCATTCTGATATTCAACTCCAAGTCATGTTAAGCCACACTCAAAAGAATTTAACCTTAAATAACTTTATTGCGAAGCAAGCCAATCTAACCCCAAAGTGACCAAATCCGATTCTGAAGCAACTCTAGTATCATGCCTACGAAATCCATTCCCTAAATTCTAGATGCCATGATATATTATTCTTTTTTCAGAAAAAGATTTATTCAAGATTTAGTCAATTAGTTTAAAAAAAAAAAATATTTAATAAGATATAATTTTTAAAAACTAGGTGACTAAGGTACTTTGGTTACTTTAAGGTTAGGGTGGGTTGCTGTGCGATAAAGTTATTTTCAGGTTAAGTTTTTTTGGGCTTGTCTTAACTTGATTTGGAGTTGAATAGCAGAATTATTAAATTACTTTATGATTGGGTATTAATTATTGGACAGTTTCTCATTTTTTAGGTTAAGCAACTATTTTCACTCATTTTCAAAAAATCATAACAAATCGGGATTTCAATAAATCATTATGAAATTATCAGCACTTATTCTACAAATCATGGGCTTTGCAATGAAAGAAACGGATTTTCAAAATATCTTTTACTTTTTGAGATATTAATTATTAGACAGTTTCTCATTTTTTGGGTTAAGCAACTATTTTCACTCATTTTCAAAAAATCATAACAAATCGGGATTTCAATAAATCATTATGAAACTATCAGCACTTATTCTACAAATTATGAGCTTTCCAATGAAAGAAACGGATTTTCAAAATATCTTTTAGTTTTTGAGATATTAATTATTAGACAGTTTCTCATTTTTTGGGTTAAGCAACTATTTTCACTCATTTTCAAAAAATCATAACAAATCGGGATTTCAATAAATCATTATGAAACTATCAGCACTTATTCTACAAATTATGAGCTTTCCAATGAAAGAAACGGATTTTCAAAATATCTTTTAGTTTTTGAGATATTAATTATTAGACAGTTTCTCATTTTTTGGGTTAAGCAACTATTTTCACTCATTTTCAAAAAATCATAACAAATCGGGATTTCAATAAATCATTATGAAACTATCAGCACTTATTCTACAAATTATGAGCTTTCCAATGAAAGAAACGGATTTTCAAAATATCTTTTAGTTTTTGAGATATTAATTATTAGACAGTTTCTCATTTTTTGGGTTAAGCAACTATTTTCACTCATTTTCAAAAAATCATAACAAATCGGGATTTCAATAAATCATTATGAAACTATCAGCACTTATTCTACAAATTATGAGCTTTCCAATGAAAGAAACGGATTTTCAAAATATCTTTTAGTTTTTGAGATATTAATTATTAGACAGTTTCTCATTTTTTGGGTTAAGCAACTATTTTCACTCATTTTCAAAAAATCATAACAAATCGGGATTTCAATAAATCATTATGAAACTATCAGCACTTATTCTACAAATTATGAGCTTTCCAAAGAAAGAAACGGATTTTCAAAATATGTTTTAGTTTTTGAGATATTAATTATTAGACAGTTTCTCATTTTTTGGGTTAAGCAACTATTTTCACTCATTTTCAAAAAATCATAACAAATCCAAACCATAATAAAAGGATTTGGTTATTATATCATTTAGGTAAACACTAGAATAGAAGAGGTTAGCTTTGGAATATAATAGGTATGTTTGGTCACTTTGGGATTAGGTTGCCTTACTGTGCAGTAGAATTAATTTGAGGTTAAGTTCTTTTGAGCTTGGCTTAACTTGATTTAGAGTTGGATGAAAAATGATTAGATTGCTTTATGGTTGGATTTGGTTAGTTTGGGGTTAGATTCAGTTTCCCTGCTTTGCAATTAGAGTATAAATGCTTTCTTACAAGAGACTTCTTTAAATTTATAAGAAACGATTTCGCCTCAAATCGCCGAGGTCGCTTGCAGGCGAGGCGCTGAATTTGATATATTAAGGCGACATCGTCAACTTTGGAAGATTCTTCTGCCTCGCCCGCAAGCGACCTCGGCAGTTTGAGTATAAATGTTTTCTTATAAGAGACTTGGTATCTTTAAATTTATAACAAAGACCTCAAATCGCCGAAGTCGCCCAAGGTAACGATTTTGTGTTAATACAAAAATTAATCAATTTTCACACAAATCAGACAATTTCATCTTGATTTGATGCATCACAACCCATATTTACCATCAAATCTATTTTTAAAGTAGCCATTTTGTGTTCGGCCATCTTTAATTAAAAATACAAAAATCCAGACATATTAAAATCGTAATAAGTATGAAAAATCCTTTAATTTGATACCCAACAACCTATATTACAGGTTTATAGGTTAAAACGTAACTTTAAAAATGACATTGACAGCCGCCATTTTTACTTTTATTTATCTTTAATTTTTTTATTTTAAACCTAACAATTCGTTAAAAATCATATAAATAATTCAACATTTTTTAATTTGATACTAATCAAACCCATAAAAAATGGGTTTGCAAAAATCGCCATTTTGTTTTTGAATTATTTTTTTAACCTAAATATTTCGAAATCGTAATAAGCATGAAATATGCTTTAATTTGATACCCAACAACCTATACTTTGGATTAAATAACGTAGCCTTAAAGATGACATTGACAGCCGCCATCTTGGATTTTCTTATTTTTTAAATTTTGCACATCTTTGGTAGTATTTAAGATAACCCCATCGAGTTTGGACTCATTTTAAAGGATTTTTTTATGAATATTACGAACATACAAAGATGGCGTCATAAACCGGAAGTTGATGTC